CACTCGTATTGTAGGGCGACAAATAACTATCAATAATGGTTCAATGTCTAAATTTAATGAAAAATGGAATAATGTTAATTATGAGTAATTCACTTATTAGCCAGATTTGTCAGCTTATCAATAATGTTCCCCCACTTCCACTTCTTTTAAGCCATCCACTATTCATTTTTTGTAATTTTTTCTTTCTTTTTTTGTAAATGTATTTATTTAAAGTAATTCAAAAAAATTTAAAAAAAAAGAAATAATTATGTAAGACAATTTTGTTACGAACATGCTATCACTTACGTATTTGTCATAATCACCACATATTTTGTTTGCATTGCATATATATATATATTAGACCTTACAAGTGATCAATAAGTTCCCGGCCTCACAATGAAACAAGGTGCGTAACTTCTCTTCTGGGGTATAACTGTATACTATAATGTCTTAAGTCACTACCTATAGAAATGCATTTTTAGGTATTCGTTGATTAGTAGGTGGTGCCCATTTAAAATCAGCAGATGAGACGAAAATCAAACAATGATCCAGACAGAAATTCGTGCTGTGATCAAGTATCTCTATGAAAAGGGGATGACTCCCAAAGAAATCCACGAAGACATGGTCACGACACTTGGTGAGGACTCCCCTTCTTATTCCACTATAAAGAATTGGGTTGCTAACTTTAAGCGAGGCAAGGAGAGAACGAAAGATGGCCGAAGGTTTGAACGCCCACAATCTGCCACCACGGACAATCAGGTTGAGGCCATCCATCGCATGGTAATGAATGACAGACGTGTCACTATCCTACATATCGGGCATTCACTAGGCATCATTTATGGCGCAGCTCAAAATGTTTTGTTGAACATATTGGAATGAGCAAGCTGTCTGCAAGGTGGGTGCCCCGAATATTAACTCCACATCAGAAGTTGAACAGTTTGGATGTTTCAAGGACGCTTTTGGCTCGTTTCCAGTCAAATCCTGGCAACTTCCTCAAGAGATGTGTAACCCAAGATGAGACATGGGTTGACCACTTTGATCCAGAATCAAAAGAGCAGAGCAAACAACGGACACAGATGGGTTTACAGCCGCCCAAGAAGTTCAAGCGAATGGCATCAGTCAGCAAGGTGATGGCCTCTGTGTTCTGGGACAGCAAGGGAGTCATCAAGATTGACTACTTGCAAAAGGGTCAAACAATCAATGGAGAGTACTATGCCTCAGAACTGCGACAGTCATAAGAGCAGCAATCAATAAAAAATGAGAGCAAAGCTTCGGGCTGGTGTGCTCAATGTTAAAATTGTTTTCATCAAATATCTATTCCATGAGTATTCTTGTTCTTCTTTCTTGTCAACAATAAATTATATGATGTTTTTAATTTATTCATGAGCTACCTATGTGCGGAAGTTTTATATTAAGGCTTTTATCACGGTATATTATTTTGAGAGGAACAACCGGTCTTACCATGCAAGACAAATGCTATATTACAATTAGTGAGTACTTCATATAAAAGCGGTATACATTTTTTTCAGACAAAATATGAAAATACACCTTATTTACAAACGTATACTGTTTGCCATTGGTTGTATATAACTGAGACATTACCCCGCATCAGAAATAATGACTTTATCGGCTTTTCCAGAGGACCCCTTTTGTTTGTAATGAACTCAAAAGCGTATAACTCTCATTAAATTTTCTTTGTGTTACATACTTTCCAATTGAAGTACCCCTTCTCGGAAACCAATCTAAGACAAAACAATTTCCTCAAACAATTGCGTGTTTAATAATAGAAAGCCATAAAACAAAATAAAACAATGCAAGAAACTTAGCCAACCTTCAGACATTATGGTCTCCGTATTTAGTCGTACAGTCGTTGGACAGACAATCCGTAAAAGATCTGTAATGTTAAATCACTCTATTTTAAACGCATACGTTTTCAATTCGTGTCCTATAGAGGCCATTACTTACTGATCATGAGTAATTAAGTGTCACAGGGTCATTTCTCGGTAACTCAACTTGAATTGTTGGAGTGTATATGTTGCCAGTTTGTTAATTAAGTTTAATAATTTAGGCCAGATATGGCGCTGTATTCGACACTTTAATGGGCGTGACTAACCCATCTGAAAATGAAACCTTCCTGAATAAATTGGCGTGAAACAAAGGGATCACTTCTTCCTGCTGCGTGTCACAGTTATCATCTTGAGTAGTTTGTTGCCAGTTCCCGATAGTTTGTGTTGGAAACCCAATGGCCAACAACACGTGCTTCTACCAGCTATAGTATCCTACATAGTGAAGTCTCAGTAGCCGTGCTGCAACTTATTTGTCAAACCATCACCGAGACGTTAAACTGTGTGATACAACGAACACCGTGTATGGAACTGGGTCAATTTTTAAAAGCTGAGTAGTCTATGACGTTAGTTTTACGTCGTTATACAGCTCGTGATTAACGTTAACAGTCTACAAGTGACAGAGTAAAACGTTATTTACTTGTATTTACTACGCATTGTGTACTACTTACGTTGTTTAGGGCATTAACCATAGTTATTTGCATTTAAATGCTAATGTAATTATTGTTTTAACTATTTATTCCCAAATATTATGATTTGAAATTGCCCGGTATTAAATATTTTGTTGACCACATGAACTTGTGTGTCTTGAAGTGCGTGCAAGTTTGTTACAGGTGTGCGTGTTTTATCACAAAGTTCTACCCTGGCATTACTGCATATGAATATATATCAATACCAATATACCTATACATTATTTCTATTGTGCATTTTGGGGTACAGAACCCAACCACAAGGTCGGTGACGGTACTTTATTTTGGCCGTTGTATTTCTGATATACGTTTGGCGATTCTACTACACCATAGTACCTCGCCGTGTAATTTACCTTGGGACATTGATATGAAATGTCGCACGCTTTGACCTTTTGAGCGTTTTCAACTTCAGCTAAACAAATATCAATACGCGCCCGTTTAGTAATTCTGTGAATATCTCTTCTAAGTATCATATTAGTAGTATTCACGCTACACGAAGTACGGGCTAAAATTTAAGCTGATTTAGGCTTGTCTCGCATATTTGCATTTCGGATAGACCCAATTGCATCCACGAACTGGGCACTGAGCACGGGCCAAGGGGTGCCATCAGCCGGTGACTTTTGTTAAGCCGCTGTTTACGAAAAATCCTTCTAATTCAGCTTGCATATCCTGGTAAGCATTTTTCTCGACGAGGAGTCCAACTGTTTCAAGATTTCGCCGTCTTTCCATATACTCAGTAAAGCTTTTGTCTCTTCGTCGCTCCAGCTTTTGCGAGGGAACGAAGTTTCATACACACTGAGCTCGGTTGCCATTTTGGAATTTGACCTCTTGGGCCAGAGAATAATTGATGTCGCATCGATCACATACCCCCTAATCCCTTGAGTCTTTGGTCCTTTCCAACATGGTTTCTGCGCCATTCGCTATTCAGAAGCAACCCGGAAGCAACATTATCTACATTTATGAACGCATACCTGCAAGTTGAGGTGCGGGAGTGGCGACTTGTGGGAGTTGAGTTTGATGGGGCGACTAGTAAATTTTGCAAAAGTAAAAATAACGATTGAAAGGAAAAAAAAATGGGGCGATTATTTTATATGCGCATTTTCCAGAAAAACAAATTAAAAGATATGCTTTAGTTTATGGCTATGATATTAGTTTAATAAATTTGATTTGAAAGACCTATCTCGAATATTGTCGACGTTATGATTACAATAACCAATGTTTAATTACGTCTAGTTGAACACGGTGTCCCGGGGACATTCGTTTTCAAAGCAGGCACAAAGGCAAAATTTTAATGGTGTACATTATCACTTCGATTTGCTTTTTTTCCTCGAATTATAAGCAATTAAAGTCAACGAATCAATCAATAAGGAGCCGGGTAATAAATGACACGAAACAGAAGTCGTTGCCTGGCACAATATATAAGAAACATTTATAGGGAATATGTATCCCTATAAGATATTGTGAGATGGAGTCAAGCATTAATGTTTATGTTCCTATCTGTTATTACAATTCTGTTTTTCAATCGTAAGCATATTTGTTTGATATTTGTTGGTGTAATTGACAATACACATGTTGCTGGTATGTTGAAGCACATTTTTGTTTGAAGCAAAAATTTCAAAAAGATGCAAGGGCGGTGACCCCAATTCCCACTCCTCAATATTTCCTACTACAATGACAATCCTTCAGTTGGCCGATACCTAGATTTTTTTATTTCAAATTGTTAAAACTATAGATGGTGGAAACTAGGTTGAAAGAAGATTATCTTTTTTTCTTCATTCCAATAATTGACAACCATATCTTTTCATAGATTAATGCATATTTATATCATGTTTACTAGACTACTTTATTCTAATGATTCTTGTATCCAGTACAAGCATAATGGCAATCCTATGATTGTTTAGATGATATAGTATCTTCATCCTCCCATTCTGCAGTTTCTGTGTTATAAAAAATATTTCAAAAGTAAAGGATTATCCGTTAATTTGAATATTTTTCAAATAGAACACATCAAATATACGGCATGTGTGGTATTCTGTGACGTCACGTGGTTACCGAATTGTGCATACCCTTAAAGTCAACGTATCGGGATTTATACTTACCAGCTACAAGTAGCTATCCGTGGTCTATTAAGAAAAAAAACAACTTACATGTGATATATGTCAATTGAAATTGCATGGGTTACACGAGTTATTTGTATTTGAATATGTCAAGTTGCAAAATAAAACCATTAAAACCCACATCCAAATCCACGCAGACTTCACTATGATTATGTCGTAGAATTGTCAAGGAATTTTCAGGAAAGATTTATTTGTGCCCGAATTGACTACTCATTGGGTTTTGGGAGAGATGTGTACCAAGGGAACAGATATTCTGTGAATGTTTTTTTTTATTGATAAATCACAATGATTGTTATGAAATAAACAGGAGCGCTCATCCCTAACAATCAATTATATTTTTTGGAGAGAACGGAATCATTTATAGTTCATAGGCAAATTATTAATTATAGAGGGAATATTTTCTATATATTTATTTCACTGAGAAATCTAGCCCATGCAAGATTTCTAAGCCATACACGCATGCAGTCGGACAGGCAAGTACATGCATTAATAATTTTCACCCAGGTTACGTTCATAATATTGTGTTCAAATGTTTTTTCTTAGTCTAATTTATCACATTTGTTCATCTGTGATTGCGTACAGTTATTGACTATTTTTGCCAACTCACCTCAATGTCAATTCTTAGATAATTATGTTATTACTATTTACATGCGAGTATTACTAAACCTATGGACACAATTTTAGATTTAAATTAAAGGCTATTTACAGATTTAATAAGTAGTTCTAAATGTTTTGAATGTATGTTGATATCATGGATCATTGCTATGAGTATAATAACATAAGTCTGCATGTTTTAAATATCACATTACATGTGAAACAGTATAAAAATACCTTGTATCATGCTTTTATCAACAGCTACGTTTTTTAGTATTTTAAAAGTAATTGTTACGTATTTTATTATTTTACATACGAGACGGGAATTGTATTAATTAATGATATACACGACGTTGATTCCAGCCTTGAGTGACACTGATTGACTTATCATAGCGGTCAAATAGAAATGAACGATATTTGATCATTTTGCGACTCGTTTCAGAAAAACAAAACAATGGAGCTACATGTGACTATGTGCAGTTTTACCTGAATTGACTGAAAATTCTCTTATGGTTAGTCGGATTTCATCTGATTTATCTGGTGTCAATACGAATATTCCCGACTATTGAAAACATTTCGCAGAGTGTATAAGCAGAACCGGCTTGAAATCATTCATATAGAAGTAAACTGGACCGTACCGAATGTCTGAATTTACTGTTGACAGTTGTTGAAGTTTTAAGACTGCCGAGACTGATACATTTCTACAGGTCTACTGTACGAGCAGCTTTACTGAGACGGTGTATGTTTACCAAGGATACGAACTACTACTATACCGGAAGTCGTGCGTATGTATGTATGTAAATAGTGTTTACTGTTACTGATGAATCACTGAATAATTGGAAAAGTGCTTGATGTCACTGTTAGTGAGAGGATTATATATTACTTAGACAATAAACACATAATCCATCTCTGTTTGTTATGATAATCCATTTATTTTGTAAAGCTATGAATATTAAAACGCATATCACTGTGCGCCAAACTAAATAGTGTTTATATAATTACGATAATCTACTTAATAAACAACCAAGTATGTTCAAAATTTATGTTAGTACAATACACAAAACATGGTTTTTTCAAGCTTTCTTAAATAGCTGTTATCAATTGAAGACAATGCACACCGAAGTTTATATATTCGTTGCTCATGGACATGGACATGTATATGAATTGCTTGGTAATGTTTGTCTATTGTTTTTTCAAATATATTATTTTGTGTTCCCATACAAGAATCATGTACGATAGATGTAGATAGAATATACAAAATACTATAATGTTGCTTTTACTTACATGGATCTCTTCCCCTACAATTTAAAAAAAATATGCACCAATTGTTAGATTGGATAGGTGGTGTTCACTTTCAAACCAAACTCGCTATGTCCATTGAAAGATTGGAAGGATGTCTGTACCCTGCAGCTAGGGTGGTATTATAGATCATTGCCATGAATCATCATAGCATAACAGAGTATGTGTTTGTGAATCAACGTCACATTACAAATGTCTTTACAGTACTAGTGCGTCATAGAGTTTTTTCTGATTCGTACACAATATTTTGTCATATAGAAACAAATGTACATTACTGCATACCGAATCCATGTTTATCTAAATAAATAATTGTATGCATAAATAAACAATGCACAATAGTTTTCATGAACATTCTACTGTTCAAACAAGTAAACCAACAGAACTACAATAAAGGCTGCGTGTTCTAATAATATTAATATAAATATTCCGTATGCATATCATGAATGAAATCGCACATGTTGGATGCGGATAGAATATACACAATGTTATGTTAGAATATTGTTTCTTAAATTTACCTATTGCTGGTTTCCAAAATCATTTCCCACTCCCTACAATTAAGAAAATATTCACCAAGCGTTATATTTATATTAATTTGAACCAAATTCGCCAAGCCCTTGAACGACTGAAGGTTCTATGTCTGCTATATTTTGACACCAAAAATAATTGTCATAAAATATCATACATAACAATAGTGTTCCTTCATGATTCGGCACGTATATTAATTAAACCCCTAATCATGTAAACATGCAAAAAAAAAATCAATACATCGCCGTGAAAACCATTACTCATCTGTTTAAGGGCATTTTACCATCGTTTTCTAAGGCAGGGATACATCTCGCTATCACTATGCTCTGACATATTGATAAAAAGATTTGTAGTGTCTTACACTGTATTTTTTGATGTCTAGAAGCATTTAAAAAAATTACAATTATATTTGTGGTTTTTAACGAGGAAATGAGTTTTCATCGTGGTCTAGGGAATCTGCTGCTAACAAGACGATTACTTCTAGACGATTTTGACACTGATAATTATCGCTAAAGCATGCGCACATGTGGAAAGAATAAACTCAGGAGTAGCATTTGTTTCCATCGGTCCAAAATAAGGCATACTACTAAACGGTTGATGGCATCTAAATTTTCAATTCTCACCTACTACGTTTGGTTCCAAGTCCACAAAGACGGCACGTAGCACGTGCTTGCCACCTCCAGTCTCGCTGAAAAACGTGTTGAAGGAATCGTCACCACCTACAATTACAGTTTTATCACTTGACATCTGTCCATCTGGATGGATACCATGTTCTAAGCAGTACAGCTCCCAGCATGCATTCCCCATCTGCACACCCGCCTGGCCAAGATGCATTGATATACATTCACGCTAGAAACACAACACAAATAAACATTTGTCCTGAGTATTTAGCAAAAAAAGGCACAGCTAACGTGAACAAGATTGTTGAGAGCTCCGTTTAGAGAATTTTCCGGCGGGTACCATAATGTGTAGCCTCGCTAGAAACGTACAGACTCCACATAATTGTCGACTCGAAAATTTTGAGCAATCGTCAGTACGATTTAATGAAACTTGGGTTCAAACCACCCATCCCATAGCCTCCGCGATGTGGTAACGGGACTTTCCATTTCGAAATACTGGTGTAATGGGTGTATACAACCACAGTCTCACAGCTGCAGGACATTTGCATCAACGATTCCAAACAATTTGCAGGTACGCTGAAGGGCAACCAAACTTACCATTTTCAAGCTGAATTCAAAGCGCGACTATAAATCCACAACGTAACGTACAATAGCAACCGTGGAAATAAAGAAAATGTGACCTGTGTTCGTTTTATATATAGTCATTGTACGTACCACCTGGTAATAGTATGCGTTAGTTAGAATATAACGACAATTGACCATTCCATTTTGATGGATGACACTTAATATTTGGACCAGTCCATTTTGTTAGCAAATACGCACTTGAACGTATTATCACAAACGCTTTGTATTGGCTTATTATTTTGAGTCCCATTAAATTTCAAAGCATCCTACTTTATTTGTTTTCGAAAGCGCGTTTTGCAAAGTACGACCAGAATGTCAAATTTACCTGAAAGTAAAGGTGCTAAATTCATAAAGGTGCTAACAATGGCCTGAATCTTTGAGAAATGTGATCGCCAACACAAATACTCGCCCTCATCGCTAATTTGCATATTTCCCGGGATGTCCCACCGAAGAGTCACTAAGTTTGGCTTACTGTTAAAACAAAAACAAAACTGTATGTTTTCAGAATGCATGAATCATATCCACAAATAGGTGATATTTACTAAACATTGACCACCTAATACACCGGGTTTCATGAATGGATGAATCTGTTTTATAGACATTTATATTTTTTTGTGAAAACGCTTCACTCAAATCCAAATATGCTTTCATTGGTCATATACATTATTAAGTGGCACCCATTACCCACGAGTCTTTGCGGGATCCCTTCAATCATTGGCTGATTTACTGACATAATTGCAAATGTTAGATCCCATGAAATTTGTTTGAAGCGCTTGAAATTACAGCGATTTGTTCGCCAAAATAAACATGCATTTACAAGTAGTACCCTTATCGTTCGGCACGTTAAATTGCGAAAGCAAGCCAATGTCAAAAGTAAGGTTAAAAAACCCAGCTATAACAATAGCTAGGTGCGTTATGTTCTAAGGCTGGCAGGCGCGGAAAATGTAAATTTGAATTCCTTCACGCCAGAAATATTGTTGAGGTATTCGCCAGAATACCAGAAAAACGGATGTTGTGGTATTCTCTTGAGTGATAACAATATTTTAGTCTTTCCAACTAAAGACAATCACATTGTTGCTTCACTACAGTTTTAGTGTATAACGCACAGTATTTCACTCCAGTAACGTTACCTTCTCACAACGTAGTCCCTGATAAAATTGCTTGTATTTACGTTTCTACAGAAGTAATACATTCGTGGATAGTTTGGTTGTCACTTTTGGTGGTACGTTTTCAGGTAAATCTACTACGGAAAAAGGCCGCGTGTAAGCGAGTGAATGACCGCAAAGGCTGTATGTGGCAGAAGTACTATGCACCACATGCTCGTTATAATTTCAACATCTGCAAATAAAGCCATCTTACTACTAGTAAGTACTAGTGACAAATCATTACAATCATGTCATAATATATATAAATCAAAGAAAGGTAGGAAAGAACTCCCGTGTGATAAAGGCACATATGCTTCCAATAGAGCAAATACAGCATTTTAAAATAAAACTCTAACCTATGATCAGAGTGGTTACAACTACCTATGGTTCAATAATTATATATAATTAATGAAATAATGACCATAAATACCAACAAAATTATAGCACTATTTGCTATACTAAGTAAGCAATCCTGAAGTAATCACCTCCTATGTACCTAGTTTCATTAAACAATTTGATATGTGGTACTCAAAATATCTGTGGAGCACCTATATATTGGTTAATTTATGCAAATTAAAAGAATTGACCAGCAGACAACATAGCAACAATCCAAAAATGGCGGCCACGTACAGAACACCTTTATTTGCCTAATCTAAAAATAGCATAGTTACTTAGTAACGTGGAGGGCACTGTTGTTAAATTAACTTGCATAGTAAAATACATTAAATTTCTCCCTACTAATTCTGTTGTCCAGTCGGCATTGTTCAAATATTCAATAAATAATTCAAGGTAAATAGTAAGCTCAACAGTTAACGTTAAAATAAACATGTATATGGCTTATCCAAGAGCATCTAGAGAGTCTAATGAGTGGTTGAGATATTGGTAGGTAGGCTAAATATTGACTAATAAATATGCAAATAAGTTGATAATATGCACGGATTTCAACCAAAAGCTATCCAGGTCTGCGCATTATATTATATGTACCAAATTTTACTGAAGTCTGTTGAATAGTACATGAGAAACAAGAGAAATGCTTAAAATTGGCTAATTAATAAGCAAATCAGGTAATTATTATGCATGGTTTCAATTAAAAAGTAAACAGATCTAAGCCTTATCCCAGAGCATCTATGTACCAACTTACATTAAAATATGATAAATGGTTCACGAGATATTAGTGGAAAACAGATGCACTAACCGCAAAGAGATGCACTAACCACAAAGACTCAAAAATGATAAAGGTCCGAAGATTGAACCATGAGAAACGCCAGACATAGCAAGAAGCCAGTCCGACTGAGCCTCCCATAGCACTCTTTCACGGTGGTTATTGACATAAACCGTGAAATGAAAGAATCAATGGTTGCACTTCATCATACACGTAATTGAGAACACGTCTCTCAAAAACTAATTAAAAAGCGCTGGTCACCACGCTACGCATGCGCGAGATATGAGTCTCATATGAACAAAGATGGTGACTTTGACTATTACAATCATATACGTGTTTGTAAATTATATTGCTTAAGGAATTGGGCCATTGTAAATTCTGGGGGGTGGGGGCGATGACGTTTTCAAAGATATAAATTCAAAACACTTCTTGTATCTGAGTGGTTCCTCTTGGCCTACATAGTAAATAAGAAAGTAAAAAGTAAATGGTATAGAAACCCTCATGCAAGATATTGTTGTTGTTACCATTGTAAACTCAAGTGAAATAAGAAA